CCAGGACAAGCACCAAAACTACACAGAGAAACCCTGTCTTGAAAACAACAACAACAACAACAAATCACTCATTAGAACCTGGGAGGGTGGCACACACTTGTAATCACAACACAAAAGAGGCTGAGGCAGGAGGATCACAACTTTGAGGCCATTTCAGGCTACATAGTAAGTGAGACTCTTGTCTTTCATTTTTTCTTTTTTCTTTCTCTCTCTCTTTCTTCCTTTCTTTTCTTTTCTTTTCTTTTTTTTTTTTTTTTTTAAGAAAACCATAGTATCAACATAGATCGAGGATGCTGGTTTGGACTAAGTTGGTAGCAAAGGAGACAGAAAGATAAAGTTTGGGAAATGTGTTAGAGGTAGAGTTGCCTTGAAGTCCTCCTGAATTAGATGTGCAAGTTAGAGAAACAGAAGAACCAAGAAGGTCTACACATTTGTTCAGCTCAAGTAATTGGTAGATTGTGATGCTAGACAATTTGAAGAAGCCCAGAAGAATCTAGAGTTCTCTCATTTCCATTTTTTTTTTTTGTTTTTTGTTTTTTGTTTTTCGAGACAGGGTTTCTCTGTGTAGCTTTGCGCCTTTCCTGGAACTCACTTGGTAGTCTAGGCTGGCCTCGAACTCACAGAGATCTGCCTGGCTTTGCCTCCCGAGTGCTGGGATTAAAGGTGTGCGCCACCACCGGCTCATTTCCATTTTTTATTTTATTTTTTTTTATCATATACCTGTAGCTTTACAGTCCATGAATTCAAACACTCTCTTCCCAGTACCTTCATTTTCTTCCTGACATGCCCTTTAGTCCTTCCTGAGAGAACTTCCTCCCACCACTTCCTCTGTTCTCATGTGCCCCTCAATCCAACGCAGTCATCTAAACCTCCTTGTTCCTTCTTCTCCAGATATCTCCCTAGTACCCTTTGAAAATGGCGTTTCCACGGCGCTTATGTTAGGCCCCCTTCTTGTCCTCTGTCCCTTCTCTTTTGGGGATCCATCCGTAACCGTGAACTCTCCCTTATTCTGATGACTCTAACACAGATGCCTCCTGAGTTTCAGCTTCCTCCGGTAAGTAGTACATAGCCTCACTTGGATATCCCGTGGATACTTCAAATTTAGTAGGTTTAAAATTGAACTAGTTCCTTCTCACTGTGACCTTCTTTTCTTCCTAGGGTCCCTATCTTGGTGACTGATGCCTCTACCATCCTGTTTACCCAAGCCATAATTCTCCCACCATGTCTCAGTCACGCAGATAAAATCAATAATCAGACTCATTCGTCTTAGTTATTGAACTCTTTCCTTCTCTAGATTCCTCTTCTTGCTGTCTTAGTATAAGAGGTTCATGTCCCTGCCCACCACCCCTCTTTTTTTTTCTTTGGATGCTAAACATCCTTTCTGATTAATCTCCTGGCTTACAATATCACCAACAAATTCTCCTAACAGCAGTGATCTTTCTAAAGTGGCCATTTGATTATGTCAGAATATTCCTTAAAATTAATCAACATAAACAATTTAAGAGGCTGGAGAGATGGCTCAGCAGTTAAGAGCACTTACTGCTCTTGCAGAAGACCCAGGTTCGGTTCCCAGTACCCACATGGTGGCTCACAGCAGCCTGTTGGCCAGCTCCATGGATATCTCACACCCTCTCCTGACCTCTCCTGGCTCCTATATGCATATGGTGTACACCCATACACGCAGGTACACACAAATACGCATTAAATAAATAAATATTAAAAATTAATCAATAGCTTTCCATCGGCCTTACAGTAAGTCCAAACTTCTTAGAAAGATAGAGCCTTTCACCGCTACAAAAGTCTATTTATCTTTCAGGACTTCTGCCATGCATTCATGCAATGTAAATATTTGTGGAGCATCTTCTATTTGCTGGGCACCATCCTCTAGGCTCAGTTCCTTGGGTGTGCCTTTTTACCTAAGTTAAGTTCTTGACGTGCGGTTTTTCTTCTTCTTCTTCTTCTTCTTCTTCTTCTTCTTCTTCTTCTTCTTCTTCTTCTTCTTCTTCTTCTTCTTCTTCTTCTTTTTCCGGTCTAAATTATCCTCTATTTTGTTCGCACATCTGGCTTACTTCACTTACCACTTCTGCAGCTAAGCACCCTCCTTTGAGCTCTCCTTAGATATCATCTCACTATTTCATGATCACCTGTGTGTTCAGTTGTCTCCTCACTGTACTGTAAGATCCTGTAGGGCATGGACTATGTTTATCTTTGCATTCCTAGGGCCACGGCAAGCGCTCAATAATGAACGGAGCAGCAGAACTGGGTTTCAAAGTCAGGACCTCTCTTTCCAGCACAAATCTCACATGTCCTCACACTATTTTTTTTCTCTGTGTAGCTTTGCGCCTTTCCTGGAACTCACTTGGTAGTCCAGGCTGGCCTCGAACTCACAGAGATCCGCCTGGCTCTGCCTCCCGAGTGCTGGGATTAAAGGCGTGCGCCACCACCGCTCGGCTATTTTTTTTTTTTTTAATATCTTAAATTGGAGGGATTCTAAATTACAGCCGGTCATGTTTATATCTGTTGCTAATTAAAACACAGGCAAACAGATGTGTGGCTCCATCAGAACCCAGTTGATAACTGTTTTTGGATAGCCCTTCCTCCATCATTCCATCCCTGTGCTCATTGAGTCACTGGGGGTTAACTGCATCTGGAATAACTGGAAGGTCTTTGCCTAGTCTCCCAAACTTTTGTACTTTTTAGCCTGTTGCTTCTGAGCCACTACAAGGGAAAGAGAGAAGAAATGCAAAGGAAACAAGGTAGCTCTTACTCATGTGGCAACTGACATTAAACTCAACCAAATCATCAGTCATGTGCACACACATCCCAATCTCTACAACTCAGTATTAAAGGTTGAATACAAAAAAAAAAAAAAATCTAAGAGCTAAAAATTGGAATTAAACGCAAGGCAACGTCAAGATCTTTTAGTAAGCTTCCATAAAGACACCAACATGCAAAGGCCCCAAATGGCTGCCCAGGCTTATCCAGTGCCCAGAAGTGGAGAAGTATCTTTCTTCAAATGCCATATATGCTCTATTTTTCATCAAACAAATTCGCTCCATCAGAACCCACCTATTTACATAGTCTTATCTCTCTGTTATTGCCTTGGTGATATTCTTGTTATAAAGAGGAAGGAGCTGGAAGCAAAAATATAAAAAGTAAGGCCTGCCTTATCAGGGACATAGAGGAATCAGAAAAAGAGACATTTAGTTCACAAGGTGATGGGGTTTCCCATTTGTAAAGTAGCCTTGCAATCACACTGTGTTCTCCTAGGGCCACAGTGCCAATCCATACTTATTTGTCCTTCCTGGGCCTGGCCTGCATTCAATTCTGCGCCTTATTTAGTCGAAATGACTCCTCCGGCTTCAATGTGTACTTTTTTTTTATGCTTCATTTTGGAAATATCATACTTAAATATTTTCTCTTCTTTAGTTTGTTTTAGTTCCAAAGCTGAGGAATGAAGATTTTCTTGGGAGGGGGTGGATTTTTCTTGGCTTTACATGTCAAGAATGGCTTTCTCAAATGGCTAATAAAGTAGCCTGGCAGTGCCTTAACCCTCCTGCAATGACGTTTTCCATGAGAATTAGCATTTAATTGGGATAATTTGTTTTCAACGGAAAGCAAAAATTCCTTTCCAAGAGGATCAGCGTGATAATGTCTTACCAGTTAGTGCAACGAGACCAAATATAAACCAGTTCTGAGAAACAGGAAGTGAACCTGACTGGTCTAGTCTGAGTGTCCCTGGCAGTGACGCAAATACAGAAATCAAATTAGGAAAACAAGATATGTGGGTGTGAGGCAATCGATAATAATCCAGGATGCTACAACAAGCAAAGAAGCCTTTAACCAAATGCCATTCATTTTAATAACACCCCGAGCAGTTTGATTTCCCTGTACCACACTGGTGATTAGCGAGCGGGACGAGTTTGAGTTCCCTAGCAACCGCATGTGCTTCTGAGACAGTCCTTAGCCTTTCCGTTAATCCCCTCAACCCCTTCCTTCCAAATGTACGGCTGACATGTTTCAGAAAGCGCTTCTTGAGGTTTCCAGGAGGGACATGGAAAAGGAATAATAATAATAATAATAATAATAATAATAATAATAATAATAATAATAATAATAATTTCTGTCCTGAGAATTGTAGGCAGGTGAAAAGAGAAATGTTCCTAGGTGCCCAGCCTGTCTCTACAGTTTACTGCTCTCAAGTCAAGGTTTCCGATTCCCCTGGGGAGAAACGGGCAATGGAGGTGAAATTGTCTGTCGGGAGTTTAGGGTGGTCTCCTCTTGGAACCTGGTGCAGTATGTTGTGTCTCTCAGAAGCCCCCCTCTGAAGGCAGGGTGAACCCTGGAGTGTACAGGTGGCGTTTGTGTAGTGGCAGACTGACTGACGGCTTGGGCAGTGCAAAATAGACCACATATTCTTTCTCCTTTAAGCCCCATGAATTACCTTGGTCGATGGAGCTTGGGGGTGGGGGGTGGGGAATGAAGCTTTTTCCTATTGATTGTTTAATTGCACCAGAGGCTACTTGTCCAAGGCCACTGGCCAAGAGCGGGGGTTTTTTGTTTTTTGTTTTTTATTTCCCCCGTGGCTAAAGTGAGGTTGGACCAGTTTCCCACCCTTTCCCCTAGATTTGAAGAAGGCAACCCAGAAAGTCCAGAAAGACGACAGGAACCTGGGGTGTGTTGGCCTTTGCTATTCGAGGGTGTCCTACAGCGCCAGGGCTGCTGGGATGAAGTTCCTGCAACCCTGAATCATTGCCTCTAGCTGGGTCCTGAGTTCGGGATCTACAACTCCACCCACCGTGTGACCTGGGACAACTGTAGGGCATTAGTCAAATAGTTATTCTTGCTGCTACTGGCTGGGCATCTTTTCTATGGCCTGGGTCTCTGTTAGCTGGACACTTGACGCCTTAGGGCCCGGTGGCTCCTAGAGCTCCCGCCGTCCCACCTAACCCCCCTGCGCGCTCCCTTCCCAAGGCGACCACCTGCGCCGCCCAACTTACCCTCTGCCCCGCGGGGAGGGCCCCTCTGGGTAGCAGAGCCCTCCCTGCTCCCGGGCGGCTCAGGGGGAGCTCGGTGTTTGCCTCCAGCCCTTCGCTACGGAGGATCAGGTTCCTCCCCTCCTCCCCCTCCAGCTCCGGCCGCCGCCGCCGCCGCCGCCGCCTCCTTCTTGCATGACACAGCAGAACCGCAGCTGCCGCAGCAAGTCCAAACCATCCGCCCAGGAAGCGCCGCAACCAGGGCTTGGGAGGGGCGGAGGGGGGCAAGGCAGGGGTCTAGTCCAGGGGTAGTCTTGGCCCCACTTTGCACCACACACTCCCTCCCTGCCCCGGGCAAGCCAACAAAATGAGGTTCAAGCTGACCAGGCCCAGCCGTGGAGGAATGCTGGGGCTTGCCAGCAGAAGGGATGGGACCAGAGAGGAGGGTGTAAAGGAGACCCCAAGAAAGGGCAGAACATTTCAGGTGAAGAAAGGTAAGAGGAGTCCGTGAAGTCAAGGGCCAGGCGCTGTGGAGATTAAAGGAGGTCAAAGAGAGGTAAGGGGGGTAGAGTTGCTGAGAAGTGAACCAGCTGGTGGTGGTGGTGGTGGTGGTGGTGGTGGTGGTGGTGGTGGTGGTGGTGGTGGTGGTGGTGGTGGTGTGTGTTGGGGGGTGTTAAGTATTTGGGAAGGCCTGAGCTGGGCACATAAGCAAAGGGCCTGAACTGGGGGGTTCAGGAAAAAGAGGGGTAAAGGATGAAAGAATTAGATGTGAGGTTGAAAGGCCAAAAGGATGGTGGTTAATAGACTTAGAAGGGATTTAGTGCGATCGTTTATTATAACTGATGAGGTAGACAAGGCCAGGCCAGAAGGTAGATAGATCATCTCCCATCCCACTCTTCAGGTTACTCAGTTGGTTTTTTTTTTCCCTTTTTCACAATTCTGCCCATCTGATTTTCCTTATAAAAATGGAAATTCATGAACCAACAGAGAAATAGTAGTTTATTTTAGATCTATAGGATATTTCTACGATCCATAAAACTTTGAGACAGAGAATTGCAAATTCAAAGTAGAACAGCCGCCCCCCCCACCCGGCCCCCAGACTGCCAAGTCAGTAAGACTAAGTACTTCAAACTGTTAGTTTTCATACATCACTGGACTCGAATAAGCCTTTAAACGTTAATACTTAAGTTAAATGCTAGCCGTGGGGACAGAATTGGTGGTTTCTAATATCATGAAAATGCGCGTGCTTGCTTTCTATCCACACACATGCATAGATATGTACACATAATTTCTAGTGTGTAGCATGTACAGTATGATTAAGGGATAAGCATGTTTTCCTGATCATCCTATTTCCAACCAAACACGCATTTTACAGCAGTCATCTTGTCACCATTTGAAAGAATGTGGTCAGAAAAGTAGTACCCAAACTGCCACTTTGGTTTTGTCTGTACCTTCCTTACAGGTTCATACCTCACTTCCTGACACAAACAAGTTTTTACTGTTGTCAGCAACAAAGCCCTAATATAGCTGCGGAAGAGAAAAAACTGCGTTGCATTCTGCCTCTTGAGAGCATCATCAACAGTTACCGGAGGAATGTAACTCCAGAAAGCTCCGAAACTGGTGGTGATGAGAATTATGGAACAGATGCCCGATTCCATTTGTTGTTATTGTTTGGGCATTTCTATTCTATTCTACCAGCGACCTGCGAGTGAGCTCACTGAGGGGGGCAAATCTGGTTTTTCTTTTTGACTTGGTAAAATTTAATCAGGCCTGAGAGGAAACTCACAGCTCTCTGGAGAAAATAAAGTAGGAACCACGAAATGTCATTTTAACAGAGCGTGGGTTTGGTGACTGCAGGAAAGGATTTAAGGACGCTCCTGTTCCGTTTGCTGTGTAGTGAGCACCGGCTCCACGCACGCACCGACGCCACAGCTCCCGGATGCAGTGGCTCCCTTATCTGGGCTTCTGTAGCGCCACAAGCCCCTTCGGGATGCTGCGAGGGGCTCCCGGTGGGTGGTGGTACAAACGCTGCGGCCGCCGCCGCCGCCGCCGCCGGTCCTGCTGCTGTTGTTGCTGCTGCAGTCACGTGGGAGCCCCTTTAAGTTTCCATAGAGAGGCCTCTCCGGTGTCACATGATGGACATGATATAATGAAACAACATTGTGGAGAGGAAAGCATTAGGGGAGCCCACGGCTACAAAAACAAGTGAGTGAGAAGAGGTGGGAGAAAAAGAAACTACGCCACCTCCCCTGCAGCCGAGCGCACGCAGCAGCCTGGCGTGACAAGTGGGCGACGCCGGGGGCAGGGAGTGGGGGTCCTCGGCCCGCTCCGGGGACCCTGTTGCCCACCGTGCGCAGAGCAACTTTTAACCGGCAGCCCCGCACCTGTCTCCGAGCCTCCACCGCTCCCCGCGACCATCCTGGGAAAATTCTAGAAGACTACGCTCTCGGAATCTACGTGCGCATCATTTTCCTCCTCGCTCCGGGAGGAAGGAACCAGAAAGCGAGCAGAGCGGCGTCACGTTCAGACCATCGGTAAGTTCTGTAGGGTGGGGGGAACGGGCCCGGCAGGACGGGGTGGGGGGGACGGGAATTTGGTGCTCGCCTCCCACCTTGGGGGTGAAAAAAGGTGTCCCCGCACTCTCGGTGAGGCAGATGGGTTGGCGCGTCATCCGAGCTATTTTCCCGGTGGACTCTGGTGACGTCCACCCTCGCACTCCCCCGGGGCCCCTCGTCGCCCCCCGCAAGGGGCTTGCGGCTGCCGGCCAGGATGCTCGGCGGCGGGCGAGAGAAGGAAGGTAGGGCTGCTGCGTGAAACGGGCATGTCGGAGCTATTTCGCCATGTTTGTGTTGCTAAGAGCACTTTTTTCCCCTTTGCGGTGGCTTGATGCCACATGGCTCCTCCGGAGCTGCTGCCGGGTTGAGAGCGAGTGGTTTTTTTTTTTTTTTTTTTTTTCAATGTCCGCATTCCAGCTAATGTTGCGCAGATAAAATTCAAACTTGAGGTAAACAGACGAAGAGGAGGAGGAGGAGGGGAGGGACCGGCGCGCGGGGGGTGGGGGGGGAGAGAGAGAGAGAGGACTGTTTCCATTTCGAGATCCCACCTCTTCACTCCGCGGAGACCAACATCCCGAACCTGGAGGCAACTCACGCATGGCTCCCACGCCCCCCACCTCTGCTGTCAACAAGAAGTAAGGGCCGGGGGCGTGCGATTGGGAGGGATGCGACGCCTTGGTTCTCCGGGGGGGGGACGGGGAAGAGGCAGCCCCCTAGGAAACCAGCGCTTTGACTCGGGCGATTATTTTGGCGGAGGGAAGCAGGATGCGTCCTCTTGCTCTGGAGATGGGGAGTGGGAGGGCCAGGGGTGCATGTCCCCCCCCCTCTTTTCTGTGACTACCCATGATCGTGTCGCCTCCACCTCTCCCCCTCCCCATTCCAAACCCAGGACCACCCCCGCAGGCGGGATGGGTGGGGCTTCGGGTTTCCAGAAGGCAGGTTAGCTAGCAGGTGTGTGGGGTGGGCTTTTGGATTTTGCTAAGTCGCTTGGATTTGGTAGGAGACCGTAGGGAGGCAAAGCAACTGCGTAGGTAGAGCGGAGTCTAATGCTTATGTACGGGGGGGGGGGGAGTTTAAAAATCAATAGAGAAACGTCAAGACAGCTCTCCCCCCCCCCCCCCAATATGTCTGTTTCAGCTCGCAGCAAGGCTGCTGCGTGAGTGGCGAGGACGAGGGCGAGCTTCGTCATGTGGCACCCTGTAGGCTCCTGACAGCTTGGAGCCATCTACCCCCTCCCGCGCGCGCCCGGGGCGGAAGGTGTGGGTTGGGTGGTCCGAGGAGGGTGACGTCCGAGGCGGGGTGGGGACAGGCTTCCCGAGCGCCGGGGTCCGCTCGCTCGGAACGGCGGCGTGTCAGGGAGGAGGCGGCCACGTGAGGCGGGGGGGGGGGGGGGTGGTGGTGGTGGTGGTGGGGGGGGGTCCGCAGCAGCGCCGGAGCTGAAGGCTTTGGGGGCGAAGTGCGTAGCGCACGAGTCGTGACGGGGGTGACACGCAGCCGCCGAGGCCGCTCGCCGCCCACGCAGGGCCGCGCCGCGGGTGGGTGCGCACTCACGCGCCCGCTCCCGGGAGACCGTTTCCGGCGCCGGGCCCGAGCCCGAGCCGGAGCCCGGCGGTAAACAGGGTGGCGCCCTCTGCCCTCCCGCCCCCGGGGCCTGGCGGAGGCGCGCGGCCCGTGGCGGCCGAGCCCCGGTGGCGAGCGCGGGCGCGGGCGCGGGTGCGCGCGCCCCCGCCCCCGCCCCCGCCCGTCCCGCCTCCTCTGTTTTTGTTTTGATGGAGCCCGCGTGCAGCTGGCGCGTGTCGAGTCACGTGCCGCGGCCGCGAGGGGGCTGGGCGCTGGCGGCCCGGGCGCGGGGGAGGGCGCGGGAAGGGTCGCGGCCCCGCCGCACGGTCCGCCGACGGCCGCGAGGGGGACGGGCCGGTGGGGCTGGTCGCGGTTGTCCCCCTGGAGCAGTGTTGGGAATCGTCGTCACAGCATCCCTGCGAGTCAGCTGTCCCCCGTCCCCCCCCCCCCCCGCAGGGCTGGAGGAGCCGCTGAGGGATCGAAACGGACCTCACAGGGGTGTGATCACTGGACACAGGAGTGTCTCCATCTGGCTCTTCATCCAGGCTGCACGGTATAACCGACCCGCGACCTTTCAAATTCGTCCCGACACCCACTCTCATAGCCAGGGACCTGAAATCCAGATAGAGTGAGGAGTGAGGGCCATTTTCTTCGCCTCCTCCTTCTCCAGTAAAGTGTGACGCAGTCGGAATGAAAATCCGTAGGTAGCCAGCTTGATAGACTAGATAGTTGTTGAGTCATCCATATTTACGCACCAAAGAGTGAAAAATAGCCCCAATAGTTAACATGTCGATCTATCACTAAATGGGGCCTCTATGTGCCAGACAGGATGACTGCGCAAACATGGCTGTAACCTGGGGAAGTAGCAGTTTTACATGTGGGCAAATGGAAGCACAGGAGGTTCTGGCGGAGGTGAGAGTGTGAGGACCCCCTCACTGGTATCCAGGGGGGGCAGATCCCAGAGCACATACTTGGAACCATTACTTTGGGGCTGCTTGACCTTTGTGAACAGCCCGGGAGCAGTGCATGTTAGCCTGAGGGCCTGCGTTTGTGTGCACGGGTTTCTTGAAGCTTTTACCTGGACAGGTTCCCTTGTTTGAAAGGGAGGAGAACTATTTGCTAAATTCATTAAGGCCTCAGGCTACCTATTCTAGAACTTTACTGTGGAGGAAGGGGGAGGGCTCTTAGCAATTTGAAGTTAACAGGTGGCTCCCTGGGAGTAGTTCCATGTTTGTTGTTGAACATACGTGTAACCTGAAGAAGAGTCCAGAAGATGCGTCTGTGTTCTACTCGTGTTCGTGAATAAGGATGCCGTGGTGGTCACCGTTTGGATGTGGCCAAAAGTGCCCCCCGGGGGGTACAGTGTCTGAGAAGTTCTGCCATGAAAATTGTGGAGGAAGTACATACTTTCTGGGGTACAGAATCTTTGCTTTTTACAAAAATCTCCTTGGTTTAATTGTTTCTCGTTTATATAAATTTGATGGGAACCTTGAGATGTGGTGGGGGTTCCGGTTATGTGTTTGGAAAATACGCTCGCTGATTTCCGAGGAGATAACAACGCAGTAAACTGAGGTTTTCCCCTAAACACGGAGTTCTAATACTCTCGTGACCGTTTGCATGATCACCGTTGTCTTTTGGGTCCTAAAGAACTCTGAATATGCACACTAATGATTGCCCCCGCATAGAGTCTGCCGCTTGGTGGACGTGGGTAAGTATATTAGAGGTCAAGGTGTCAAGGTTAATGTTCACGTTCTTTGCAGTTTGGTGAGCCGAGCTTAAAGACCCACCCAGGCCAATGCAACATAAACACGAACTTTTTGGGTTTGGGATAAATCGTTCTCCGGTTGTGTTCCTTCTCTGTCTGTGCTGGTGCCATCCCCACGAGTGACACTTCGTTTTTCAGCATTGTCAGACCATTTAGGCACAGTGGTTCTCAACCTTCCTCTGGTGTGACGCCCTCATCATACAATTATTTTCCTTGCTACGTCAGAACTGTAATTTTGCTACTGTTATGAATCGTAATGTAAATATCGGTGTTCTCCGATGGTCTTAGGCGACCTCTGTGAAAGGGTCGATTGACACCCACCTCCCCACAAAGGGTCACAATCTATAGGTTGAGAGCTGTTGGTGTAGGGGGTCCTTGCATAGCTCTTTTAAGAGGGCTTGTTTGCTTCTCTGGTACCTCCTTCAGAAACTTACCCTGTTGTCTTTTTAGTTAACGTTTTCTTAAAAGTGAATATTTATTTATCTACGTGGGTGTTTTGTTTGCATGTATGAAGATGGCGTCAGATCCCACGTGACTATAGTAAAAGACAGTTGTGAGCCACCATCTAGGTGCTGGGAATTGAACTCGGGGCCTCTGGAAGAGCAGCCAGTGCTCTCAACTGCTGAGCCATCTCTCCAGCCCCCAACATTTTACTTTAAATAAATGTAATGTATTACATCTTGTGCACATCTTTGCTTCATTTTGTCAGACACAGCTTATCATATTTGTTACACGTTCGATGTCTTTAACAAGAAATTGTTCTCTTCAGAGTTAAGGAATGATTTTTTTTTTTTAAAATCGGCGTATCGGTGGCACATACTGACACTAAATTCTTTGCAGTGGTCACCATTAAATTCTCTCATATTTGCTTTGCCCCGTCCCTCCCTTTCATTCTGAAGCATCCGTACCACCTCTGCTATGAGCAGTCAGATGAACAGCACATTGCTCTGTGAGGACACAGAATACAGTGCCACTAACGTTCTTGTAAATGGAATAGAGAGGATGACAGTGACGTACAACGATTTTCACTTGTTTCCCGGCATTGCCCTTTTTTTGGCCCCTTGGACAAAGGTTTTTCTTACTGATACATACTGAGAGAGCAGCTCACTGCTGTTGCCACTTACTTGGGGAGAAAGAAATGGCACCCATTACCAGGGGATATGCTTTTATGTGCTGTGGTAGGGCCCAGGTGCTTCGTCAGATTTCATTACTCTGTAATTTTCAGATTTAGTACACAGAGATGTATGAGAGCCCCTCTGCCCTGCAGGCCTTTCTGAGATGACGAAGCGATTTTTAGAGCTGCAACCTGATTGAGGCCCTCAAGTGACGTACATCTTAAATGTGACTTGTATGACGCAGGAACTGAACTTGGAAGTTGATCCAAATGTAGATAGCCACTCGTGGGTACAGTATGGGACAGCATGGAGAATTTGCTTCTCTTGGAGTCTACCATGTTAACAAGCAAACATTTAGGCTAAGGAAGTGTACCTTTAAAAGAAAACTCTAGGGCAATGGCACAAATGCTTCTCATTCCCAGAGTATAGGCACTTGCTGGTGACATTTTATCTGACCTGGGTGAGGCCCTCATCTGTAGAACATCTGCGTTATTACATAAGCTGTTCTTGTACTTTATGTGGTCTCTCCCTTCCAGGAG